TAATTCAGATTACCGGTGTTCACCGGTTTCAAGCCAATTCATTCGTTAGAGTGTTAGTCCTTCTTGACATTAACAATTATAAATATTACCTTACTTTTATATAGCTTACCTACTTCTTTATACCTGTGTCTCTTTTAAAAAGTACCCTGCGGCATTTTGCGCTACGTAATTATTGCTGCGATTTCAATTTTCCAAGAACACACATTTTCACGTTTCACTCGACGCCATTTACATATAAAAAAAATAAAAAAAAACCCGCCTCCCTCATCACTTTCTTTAGATGACAAGGATGATAAACTAACATTTTTTTTTATGGGGCCTAACTTTTTTGAAGAACACATACGATTTTCAGGTTAATTGGTGGTGTCATATGATTTAGGGAGAATCATAGACGAAAACAAGGTAAAGTTTGAATATATTTATTCACATATTGATAGATTATTTACCAGTTGAAAACTATGCAAAACGCTGTTAAAACCGTGTCATACTCTTCTCTATTACTAGTATTATGCACTCTTGATAATATTAATAACATTGACAACAATGACTGAGCATTGACCATAGTGGGGTTTCAGCAGTCTTGTCCGGTACTCAGTATACCACAGTTACACACTATACTGATATACATTTAAGGCTTATTGCCGCAAAGTTATATTGATACCTGAGACAAAGATCCTGTATTAAAACCCCTCTGGTATCGAAGAAAACGAAAAGACATGGCGAGCGCCATTTTGCTGGCTAACAATAAAAGCAGGATGGTCTCCCGTGAATACAAACACTTATTGATAAATATTAGATAACTCTTATGTATGTATATGCATACATATTATACAGTAAAAATTACCTGAATATTTGTTTCTATATTTCTTTATATCTCACAGATAATAATTTAAAATTGTTTAAAAACACGACAACGATCCCAGAAATCTTGGCAAAACCGTTGTCACGGCGACGGCTACGCGTTGTTGATGAATTATGGCGAAATTAAAATTGTAAAGCGTTTTAGACTGTCATTAAAAGTAACAAATATTGCTGATACAAACTTCATGCTATACTACATTATTGAGTAGCATATTATTTGCTGTGCCTTGTGAATATATTACTTATGGTATTACATAAAGAATCACAATGACATCTAGGAAAATTATACAAGGTGGTAATTTGAAATAAATTAGTCTTACTCTTACTCTTACTCTTACTCTTAGGCTTAGCTCTAATACTAGTACTAGTAGTAGTAATAATATAGCCCGCGTACAGTTGCCGCAGGCCTGCGCTGTACGCGGGCTATAGTACTAGAGCTATAGCTTGGGCTTAGATAATTTTAACTAATTTTGTTCTATTTAAAACATGTTTTAATCTAATAATATATCATGGCCAGCTGGTTATTAATATTATGTAAGACAAGTTAGTTTTACACATGGAGTCCCCGTGTCTTCTAGTTCTAATTCTATGTCCAGAGTTAGCTAGGCTTACAACTTACAAATTACAGTTACACAGTTACAATTAAGCACGATCACATTTTCGTTTTTCGCGTTTTGTTTCTATATGGACTGTGCATTCCAAATCGGATGCGTCTCAATATACTGACACTGTTCTTACTCTTACTAGTCTTAGGCCTGTGCTATAGCCTAGGTTATGCATGATGCAGGCACTCTCACCCGCCTCAGTTTTGACAAACTCCACGAACGGTCATACATGATACAATACATATCGAACGACCATGTGACATTGTGTATTGACGTTGGTCTCGCAATAACTAATAAACATCGCCTTTCTCTTTTAGTGTTTGAACAGTACCAAAAAGCAAGGATTCAGTTTGTGCAGACTGTTGCAGAACTTGCTGCAACTTCAAAGCGAACAAATATTGAACCACTCCGTGATGCAGGTATATACGTAAAGTAAACCATATCGAAAACAAGCCATAAAGGGCATAATAATATTAGAAGTGCATAATATTCCAGGATGTCTAATATCATGCACCTCAAGTGACATGAAACCTGCAGTTTGTTAGATATTTTTCGTGCACATTTATTACGAAATCCACAGTTCATTCACATTGAGAATTACTCAAAATGCTCACACTTCATCTTGGCTCTGTGTTCACATTGTTTCGCCACGCTCTTAGCACACAATATTATGGACCAGTGTAGGGCACAATCAGGGTAATAAATACATGAGAGCGATGAGCTATTCGCTCTTCAAACCTCCGAAATCGCTCCCGTGAGGCTCAAAATAGCTCCCGTAAACAAATTTTGACGAGAGCTATGTTTTCCACAGACTTGAAAAAGAGCTCCCGTGAAAAAAAGAGTATTTTTTCCCTGGGCACAATGGTGTGTTCAGATGTGTGAGCCGGCCAAATGTTGCAGAAATATTTTTCATTGACAGGTGTTATGGCATTACTCAGACCCCTGTTGCTGGATGTAGTTCCTACTGTGCAGCATACTGCAGCTTTAGCCCTGGGAAGGCTGGCTGTTCACAACGATGCTCTTGCTGAGGCTATAGTGAAAGCAGATATTCTACCGCAGCTTGTACACTCTTTAGTGAAGCAAAACGTATGTATATGTCAATATCATAATTTATATATCTGCACATAGTGGCAGAGAGAACACAATTTTCTCTGTCAATAAAAAAGTTATGTTACATAGCGGTGCTACTAGCTATAAAGAGTGGGTACTACCTCCACATAGTACAGGTTTAAAATGCTACACACTTTTAAATAAATTCACTATACCCTGTGTACTACAAAGTAATTGTGATTTTGAAAGTAAACTTTGTGTCCTTGTGTGGTTACATGCTAATTTGCGTGCCTCTTCAAAAATATCCCATGGATTTCTTTTGTAGATATATTACAAGGAAGCAGCAGCGTTTGTGTTTAGAGCCGTTGCAAGACACTCCCCTGAGCTTGCTCAGAATGTTGTAGACAGCGGTGCACTAGATTCATTGGTCGCATGTTTAGAAGAGTTTAATCCAGCAGTGAAACAAGAGGCTGCTTGGGCGTTAGGTTGCATCGCAAGGCACAATGAAGGTACAAATGACATCGTATAACATGCAGTCGTCATCATTGAAAAATAAATTGTTCACAGCAGGGTGAAATATGTAATGGATGCATCCTCATTGCGTTTTTTTTGCATTGCACATTTAATACCGTATCACAGCTGAATGACATGTTACTGTCTACTTCTAACAGAGTTATCAATGGCAGTTGTGGATGCTGGTGCAGTACCGTTGCTGTTGCTGTGCCTACAGGAGCCAGAAATTGCTCTAAAGTCAATTGCAGCATCTGCTATCAGTGACATCAGCAAGCACTCGCCAGAGCTGGCACAGACAGTAGTAGATGCTGGAGCCATTGGCCACCTTTGTCCATTGGTTATGAGTCCTAATGTGATGCTAAAGGTATCACGTTTAATGTCATTGATTATATATAAAACATAATAACTGTTACCTTATATGAGTGTGATAGTCTGAGATGTTTTCAACAGACTTTGAAAACTTTGATATATGTCTGCGGTCCATAATCTTCATAGTGAGCATTCTCGTATAATTATAGCGTAGCATAACAAGCACTATGTAGTTATAAGGATATGTCACTGTTTGGTAATCTGTCCAGTGCATTTAGTACGAATAACGTCGATATTGCTTAGCAATTTATATCATAATAATAAATATGCAACTTGTAGACAGCTTAGCAGTCTGTACCGAATCGTATTAATTCTATGAATGTCCTTTATCGGCAGAAACAAGTGTTTTCGGCCCTGAGCCAGATATCTAAACACACAGTTGATCTTGCCGAGAGAGTGGTCGAGGCAGAAATCTTCCCTGCAGTTCTTACCTGTCTGAAAGACTCCGATAAATGCGTCCAGAAAAATGTGGCTACTTTGGTCCGAGAGATAGCGAAGCATTCGCCAGAGGCGAGTCGACTATTTTTTAATTAATTATGATTGTTTGTATTACATACATAAATGTCAACAGGGTACTTCTGTGTGAATATGGAGCTAACAGATCCATTCGGGTGGTTGGGTCACATGGCTGTATTAGCTCACGTGACTGCTCAATATGAAAGGGCAAGATATGGCATTTTTCTTGAGTGGCAAATGTGCAATAAAACCACATTTACCACCTGGCTATCTTTCTACTAAGAGCACTTGTCGTTTTCTTTGAGCGGGTGTATTAATATAAACGTTTGATTGTGTATACGGCGTGTGTGATTACGTATTTCTTCATTAATCAAACAGCTCGCACAACTCATAGTGAATGCAGGTGGAGTGGCAGCGATGGTAGACTTTGTGAGAGAGACGACGGGTAACGTACGTTTGCCAGGTATCATGATGCTTGGATACGTGGCGGCACACTCCGAGATGCTCGCAATGGCTGTGATTGTGTCCCGCGTAAGTGGAAACCTCTACTGATTGGGTGAATGAATGTGCATGTGGACGCATGTAAACCGGAAAAAAATTATTCTGAAAATAGTTTCCAATAGAACTGAAATGAAATATATACATCTGCTAGATGCTAGAATTTGTTAGCATTCATATTCATGTTCACATTAATTTTTACCCCAAAAAACTGTCATGAAAATAGTTTGTAACAGAACTAGAATGAGAAAAATACATCTATATTAAAAACTGGAATTTGTTAGCACAGTGGGCACCATTGTATCTGGCCTCAGGTAAACAGGCACACTGCTTTTAAAAACGTCTTTGAAAAACAATCCTTATGCATGTTGTTGTGTTCACAGCTTATTCGGGACCATCTCTTAATCGGGACACTTATGGTTCCCGACCTGTATCGATGAAGCGCGTACCACTGTGTTCATAGATTTCATACACTGACTGCAGGGTGTGGTGGAGCTATCACGCGCACTAGACGAAGAGCAAGAGGAGCATATCCGTGCGGCCACAGCGTGGTCACTTGGCCAACTTGGCAGGCACAGTCCCGAGCATGCCAAGGCTGTTGCTGAGGTCAACGTCTTGCCAAAATTACTTCACTGCTACCTGAGCACCAGCAGTTCAGAAGACATGCAACTAAAGGTAGTACCAATTGTTTGCAGTCATGCTTATTTCATCCACTGCGTGGAGTGTCAATGATTTAGTTGGAGATAGATGCTTATATATATCTTCTGTTATATATGTAATTGGAAGTGCTTATCATCTTCTTGTTGTTTTTGTTTTGTTGTTGTTGTGTTTGTTGTTGCATGATAGTATGTGTATTAATTATTAAATTATATATCGATACAATAGGCAAAAAAAGCACTAAAGAATCTACTACAAAAATGTGTCCACCTGCCTGCCTTGGAACCACTGCTGCACGATGCACCTCCAAATATTTTAAAGCACGTCGTTGCACAGTTTAGCAAGGTAAAACTCTAATGTAACTATAAACGTTTTGTTTATAAACCATTGTTCCGTAATACATTTAATAAATCATGCTGTGTATTAGTGTGATACGTTGTTAAACTCGGTAATTGGAGAGAGTTATTCATTGTTACGAATGCAATCGTAACAATTTATATAGATAGTCTAACTTTCTCTAAAATTGTATAGGTTCTGCCTCATGATGCCAAGGCCAGACGGGTGTTTGTCACCACTGGTGGACTGAAGAAAGTCCAGGAGATTAAGACAGAGCCTGGTTCTGCACTACAAGAATTCATCAATACAATCAATAACTGCTTCCCTGAGGAAATAGTCAGGTAAGAACTCATCCGACAGATCACAAGTTTATACAACGTCACTAGTGGGTGCATGTCTGTGAGTTCTTTTGAACACTAAAAGGAATCATGTAGGGTTTCGTTATGGAAACTAAATGCTAATCGTCATGTATCACCCAATCTAACTACGATTTTCATGTGATAATTTCTCACAGTCGGTTACTGTGATTGTCTCACATGTTTATTGGCTACGGTTATCAGTGATATATTGATGATTTAATTATGATTGTTTTCCTATTGCAGGTTTTATTCTCCTGGATACTCTGAGACATTACTAGAGCGGGTTGAGCAGTATAATCCTATGACAGCACAGTAAAGCTCCATTAGTAGAGAATACAAAAAATATAGCAAAGTATACTGTCTATTCGTGTATGGTTCCTGTGTACGTCTATACAATTTATATCAACTGTGTTTGATTTTCTATCATATCTGTGTATTAAAAACATTGAAACTAGAAAGTCATTATTGTAATTCCATGTACACATGTACGTGTTAGTTTTAATAAGTATATATATGTTGTTTTCATTGCATATTTTTATCAAATATATTTTGTACTGTAAATGATTATTAGAACTATATTCCGATAATGATAATAGCATAATATCTCTGTGTCATACTTCCTTCCATTACTCATTTGAATTGTCTTCATGTATAAATTTCCGTAAGATGCGTAACCAAAATATTCAGATTTTGCTTAACTAATTTTTAACTATTGAGTTTGTTTATTTCAAGTATAATTATATTATTTGGAATGAAATCTATTGCAAAGGCAACTGGCTGAACAATATAGAAATTACTGAACATTTCACATGAACTAAATCTTTGTAAAGAAATGTCCATCTGTGTAAATTCTATATGTAGTCAGTATTACTGTTGCTGGAGCAGTGATGAAGAATTGTGCAAAGGAGAGAGCGAGAGCGCGTGAGCGAGCGAGCGAAAGAGAGAGAGAGAGAGTGCTCCCAATCATAATGGTCAATTTACAAGAGGCGAACTGCCCACTGTCAACTATACTCGGACAATAACGCGTGCGTGGATTGGATTTGCCCCCACCGCTAGGTAAAATGAATTGGCTACGCCCTTGCAGGTGGCCGAATTAGATTAGGGCAGTCGGCTGCAAAGTAAAGTGAAATCCGAACACTTGCTCTGATTACATTTACCTACTGGCCGTTGGATGGCGCCAGTGACATTTATTTAACCCCAAGAGTTGCAAACAGCAGAAAGATGCGATATGATATGACTACTAGGCACTTTAATTTAATTTAATTTTTTTTTTTTAGGGTTAGGGTTAGCGTTAGGGTTAGGGTTAGGGTTTTTTGTGTTTTTTTTAAGTGCCTAGTAGTCATATCA